CTCAGCTCACACCAGGAAATATCTGCAATCAAAACCACTAGCTTTCTTGTGATAGTTTCATAGATCTTCAGCTCATATACCTTCCAATAAACTCCCACAAATCTCAAACAAGAAACCCGGCCCAAACTTTTAGATGTTTGTCTTATCTGAGGGAGGGCTGCTATCCTTTCTGAGGTTCACCAAAAGCTGATTTCTATTTTTCAAAATAATGATGCCTAATTCCACTTAGACACTTTTCCCCTTCTGAATATAATGCAAACATCAGTTAAAGCATTTCTGGCTGTATAGAAAAGTTATTATCCCATTCACTACTGAACTCTAATTTTTTTGCTCCTGCATGCATGTTCTTTGAATTTCTTCTTCATAGTAAAATTTCCACGTTGGAATTCACTCCTCCAAGTAATTCTACTAAGACTAGATCTTTGGATTACAATGAGAATTACGTGAGGTAAGGAAAAGTTCCTGCATGTACTTATTTTGAAGGAAGAGTAGAGCATTGTGCCTGGCTGACAGTCAAAGGGCTGTGGCAAACCACACAGCAAGTAAATGAAGAAGTGACCTGTGGAAAGCTGAATCACATCAGCTTTCTAGGGCTTCTACGGAGTATGGGTTACTTAGGAAAATTAGGGATGATTGGACTGATAAAATGTGTGAGCTTTCAAGCCTCGCCACAAGGTGGAAGATCTTGTATCTATAGTAGTTTATTAGACTGTTTAGCTAGGACTTGTAGAAATGGGAAGAAATAAGTGCAGCTTGAAACCCTTGTTTTTCAGTGTCGATTGACAGAGGCCACAAACATACCACTCTTCAAGGGAGGAGAGCTGGGAGGTCAGTGGGCAGGTAGAAGGGTATTTAAAATCAGATGGCTGCACGGATAACAGCAGCTCCCCTGACTCTGCAAATATCAGGCACAGCCCACCGCTATCAAAATCAAGTGGTGTTTGTTCTCTTAACTACAGAGAAGAAATAACATTTGCCCAACAATGAAGAACAGTTACTATGCCTTTGGAGTCTTGAGCATTTATCAGCAGGCTTGGAAATCATATAAACCTTATCTCCTTGTTTGTGTTTTCGAAAAACAGATAACTTTGCCCTCTGAAGACACTGCTATCTTTATTGGGCAGACGAAGTGGGCTCGGTGCCTGCTCTTCTTCAGGCGCTCGCCTTCCTGCTCCCTGGAATTTCGCTGGGATCTGGGCTGCTACCGTGACCCTGCAGAGCTACCGACACTACACCATGGGAGCAGATGGGTCCCCTATCAGTTACCTTGGCTTATTTATTACTTACATGCCATAATAACCTTAACATATTTTGAGTTGTTCCAGGCACTCTGGACACATTTGGTCAGATTTGGATGGTGAACACATGAGTTCCTCTTCTCTGACAGAAAACTGTAGACCTCTTCTCTGTGATAAGTCAGCAGTTACTTCCAGATATTTGGCTACCTATAGGCTCCTTTCAGGAAGTAAAAATGTTGGTAAGAAGAATTTAGTAAGTGAAAGTTCCTCTCCTAGCCTGAGATCTTGTTTTCCAATATAAAATTGAGGCTTTGAGCAACCTGGTCTAGTGGAAGGTGTCCCTGCCCACGGCAGGGGAGTTGGAACTCAATGATCTTTAAGGCCTTTTCCAACCCTAACTATTCTGTAATTCTATGATTCTATAAAATAATGAGTTCCAGCCTTGACGTGCATCCATAATCCTCCTTCACTGGGGCTAGGCACAGCTGCGGATCACACAATAGATATTTCTTGCCACAAGAGTGTTGTCCTGATTTCTGTCCCACGTGGCGAGATGGCAGCCTAGTCTTGGTAGGGTTTAATCTTTGCTCCATCAGGAGCTGAGTCCCCTGCCTAGCTCGGCACTGCTCCACCACCTGGCTTTGGAGGGAAAAGCCTGCTGGGCAGATTGGAAATTACAGCTAAGGGAAGCAGGAAAGGCAGTAGTTGTTAGATGATGTTGTCAGGAAAACAGTTGTTTAGCGTGCTAGGGCTCAGGGATGTGGCAAACTGCCTGAAAGCAAAAGCTCGCCCTTGCTCGATCTGCCTGTGCTGGGGCAGAGGGCCAGGTCCCCTCCTTGCTCCAAGCAGGGCTAATGGTGAGGCCTTTTGCAATCTTAATGGTTCGGATTGAACCTGCGACATGGAGCCCTGAAACACAGTGAGATGTTTTCCAGAGGTGGAAACGCTGATTTTCCCAGGGCATATTTTGCTGCTTCCTGATCTGGGAGACATTATGGAATGCAAAAATAGCTAGATGTAAAAAATGGATTAAGTCTATTTATCCAAATATTTACTCAGAATGTAAGCTAGCAACTTTCACACCATTCAAATACACTGCCTTATTTTCTGGTTATTTAGGTCTCCTGATGTAAGGAAACCTGGAAAAAATCTTACTTAAATCCCTCAGTGTTTTATGCCTCCGTAGGATGAACTGACTTTGCCCCAGTAGAAAACTCAAGGCAAAAAAACCCCAAACCACTCTGCATCTTTAGAGGTTCGAACCAAGGGAACATACATTCCTGTGGCTTCATAGAATAAGTGACACTTCAGTAAGATCCTGATGCTGTACATCCTACTCCCTCCATTCACACTGAAAGTGTTAAATAAAGTGTCTGCAAAGCTTCTGGTGTGGCTTCCCAGAGAAGGGTGCCTTCAAGCACGGGCACTGAAGTCAACAGGAGGTTAATTCAGATCGTAGCTACTCCCCTGACCATGTGTTACAGACTGTTGGATTTTGTTTCAGTGATGAGCTTCAAGTACAGCCAAAAGTGAATAGAGGCACATTGACCTCATAGCTGTGAATACAGATTGAGCGTCCAAGACAATTAAAAGCAGAAAATATGCACCATCTCCAAACCCCTGGCAAATCAGTACTAGAAGTTACCGCTGCCCCATCCGGCTGAAAAGATGTTAACACTCGCTGTAGAAGAGGTTGGAAGGCAGCCATCCTCGATGGATTGCTTATGAGCACTGACTAGAGTCAAACCGACTTCAGTCGGAGATTTACACAAGCCTGGTAATCTAATAGTAGAGTTTACTTTACGAGAGTGCCACACCAAAGATAGTAAAATGCAATTTTAGCTAACAAATCTACATGCTTCCACAGAAAAGCTACAGCCATCATGGAACATGTCAGCACCGCGGAGCGCCTCGCACAGATTTATAGTTTTCAGTTTATTGCTGAAGAGTTATTGTTAACTCCATTGTTATAGAGTTACTGCAATTAAAAGTTCCAGTCTCACTTATCATTTTTAAACTTAGCTAATAAAGCCCAATAAATTCTGAGAAGTGATATGTTTTCCTGTGCTGTTAAGCATCTGAAACATTTTCATGCTGGACTTTTGATCTATGTTAGGATAGATTTTGGAAGTAAATTGGCTGTCGTAAGCCGCTTTTCCTCTAACTTGCTTGAATCTGTGAAATTCCTTATAGTTTTTCAATACTTAAAAGTTGTCCCTTGTGCATGCAACAGGTGATTGTAAGCTAAGTACTGCATCTCTTGAGAGTAGCTTTTCAAGTTTGTGTTTCTTCTTTCATCAATTATAAAGAACAGTTATTTTTGTTGTAGAGGGGTCGACTTTTGGTGTTTTCTCATGTGAGTCGTGTTTTTTCTCTTTTTTATCAAAGCTTTAAGAATATGTACTTTTCACTCTTCCTACAGGTGGCTACAATTACAAATCCTACTTCCAATCATCTGTATTAATGTGTTCAGAAGGTACATGGATGGGGCAAAGAACCTAGACAGGTGGACAGAAAAATTTCCTAGCATTTTGTGAACTAGCCTCAGCAGCCTCGCAGTGAACACACACAGGATCCCACATCTACTGACAGGGCTATGGATCTGTTTTTCAAATGTGTCAAGGTTAATCTTAGTCCCAAATACCACTAACATACAGAGATCCTAGTGCCAAGTCAGTATGTTATGACATCTATATCTATATTGCAAATGGTATCTATTGAGATATAATATCCACACAAATGGAATTCCTCTTGTAGAAGCACAGATACTATAAAAATCCAAACATATCTATGGGGAAAACACATGAAAGAAAACTCATATTCATCCTAAACCAACTTCACTATAAGTAAATTGCAGTTTGCACCTTGCAATTCATAGCAACAACTGGGACTACGGCTCTTTGTACTACAAAAGAGTTTCACTATCTTTGTGATCATGCGATGGGTTAAGTATACAGACAAAGGAAGTAAGGAAAAACAACGTGCATGATCTGGAATAGAGATTACTGAATGGAGGGTGTGTATAGGACTGAGAAACAACATCCAAAGCTTTGGGAGGCTTAGTACACAAGCTTGAAACTCCTGCATTAAAAATGTAGATCAGAAACTTTTTAGCAGGCTGAACACGTTCGTTCATCCCTGATCTCACTTCTTCACATACGCAAGAAAGAGACAAAGCTTTATGCCAGGTGGGATGCACCTCGGCTGAAGTTCTGGCCATGCTTTTCCCCAGCAGGATCGCTTAACCCACAGCGTCTTCAGGTTTTGCTTATCAAGTACAGCAGCTGGGAACATTATGTCTTTATAATCAGAACGTCCAGTTTCTGTATCAAAGGACGCGAAACACACACGCCCACATCTCTTTGCAATTTTAAAAGCCAATAGTCTACTGCAAACTTGTGCAATCCACATCAGAGATTAAAAGAAAGAAAAAGAGAGAAAGAGAGAGTTTTGTTTTTTTAAAAAAAAACTTACCAAAAATAACTGAAGTTCTCTAAAGTTGCCCTGAAGTTGAAATAGCCCAGAACACCAGTGCAGAGCCTGCCTTAAACTCTCTCTCTTTCTCACTCCCCCTGTCTCTCCAGCAATTGGAAGGAGGGCTGTGGAGAAATTCAGCAAACAATTTTCCTTCTATGTCGACCGGGGCGTTCCTCTACGGGCAGAAAGGGGATGGCTGAGCCTGGGTGAGGCTCGTTGCTATCCCCAAGCCAAAGAGCGCTGTCGCAGATTACACAGCCCGTGAAATCCAATCCCTTTCTCTACTGAGGCAACAGCTGTACGGCTTCAGCTGAGGCGGGAGCGGCAGATAGACCCTGGGCTTGTTGCTGGTCGTGCTTTCCATGCTGGGGGACGCAGAGGAACGGGGGGTACAGGGGTTTCCGTAAGCTCCGTGCCTTCTCCCCACTTGCTGCCTACAGCTGCAGGCACGAGCGTACACAGGGTGGAGATACGGGGCAATTTCCTCAGGACTGAAAGTATATGGGATGTGGGCGCCCGCGCAAAACAAACATCTCTTTTCCTGAAATTCATTCCCAGCCTTGCTTCAGGACATAAGTGGGGAATTAGCATTATATGGATTAGTAAATTCTCATGTGAGCGTGCACACACACACAGGATGCAGCCTGTCACAACGGCGCGGTTCAAACGGCTTTCAAGGCTGTTCTAGTGGCCTCTTTAAGTTCAATTTTTCCCTGTCATTTTTAGGCAGCTGTTTATTTCTTTCCAAAAAAAAAAAAAACCCCAAAAAACAAAAAAACAAAAAACCAAAAAAAAAGCAAAACAAAAAAACCCAAAACCCCCTGAGCACTGAGGTGACAGTTCTTGCACCACATGAAGCGTTATCGTGGCTCGCAGCATGGGCGTGCTGCTCTGCTTAGTGCTGCCTTTGCAGCGTGTCCTGATACTAACAGATTTCTGCACCAGCAGAAATGGATTTATTAAAATTCCCAGCCCCTCCTCTCACCTGTTTCTGTATCTCCACCCCCTGCAAAAGAAAGAAATTGGTAACACTGCTTGTTCCTCCTCTCTGAGGAATGACACCCATCCTCTGATTCCTCCTCCCTGAAACTTTAAAAAAATCACAGCAGCAGATTTCAGTCGGGGCTTCCTTGTTTCACAGAAGTGTTTGGCTGCTCGTTTGCATGCTGTCAAACGGGTGTGAGGTGAGTGAGGGTGCAAAACGCAAACGACACATAAGCAGCCCTGGGAGTATCCTGAAATCTCTCCGGCTGCTTTGCCAACACACCAGAGCAGAACGTGAACAGGTAAAACCCACACCAGCAGAAGGAAAACCCCTGTGTTTACAAAGCAGCCTCATTTTGTGTCGGTGTAGATGTTGTGCTGGGGATTTACGTGCTGTATGCTGTGAATATGTTTCAGTACCTGCAATTCTGTAGATGTCAGATTTCTGGACCCAGCTGTGGAACGGGCACACAGCATTTCTACAGAGGGAATGTGGAAATTTGACAGTGAAAACTGAGCGTATAGCTCTGCTTACACATCCTCTGTGGATACTTAACACAGGCATTTGTGAAAACTGGGTCTTAACAGAACTCGGTATTTACATTAAAGCCAATTCTGTGAGGATTTTTGTGTAATTAAATGCCTACTATTATATCTAATCATATACAACATTAATTATATAAGACCAACTATATAGCATAATTTAGAAATACTATATGAATTTTTATCTAATTAGTATACAAAGTTTGCCTGCATATAAACTGGATAGTGGCTCAAAAAATGTATATTTTTGTTACATGATTACATTGTGTATATATATAAAATATGTATGTATAGTAAACATTATATAATAGGCAATGCATATTATATAATATATAATGATATACTATATATAATAATATCTGATTAATATAAAAGTTATGTGAGGCACTATGTAGTTTATACACAACCTCTATCTTCTTGTGAATGTGGCGTCCACACTGAGAAAGAAAAAATATGTTGGCTGTAGCCAATGCAGGGACATATGGCAGCAAAGAAGGGCGACAAGGTGTTGGGACAGTGTCAACACAGGGGACATGAGACTCCTCACAGTGACATGTTTGGAGCAAGACCTGCCACAGCTGCCTCGAGGATGGAGGTGATCAGAAGCAATCAAGGCTCCCTGAGGTGTGGTCAGCACCAGGAAAGGCAGTAAACTGGGATGGCTGGGAAACGGACCAAGACCTCTTGGTTAGTTTGGATAGTTTGTGGCTTACACTGCTGCCATCTCTGTTTCTGTGCTCAGTCTTTTGGACTGTACTGAGGTCCAGCCTTTCTGAACCATCTTTCAACATCATCCTGACAAACAGCATATATTTTTAGAAACAGACATGCAAAACAAGAAGCCCAACCTGACACCGTGGTTTGATGCACTTTGATGCACTCATTTGGGTAAATCTGGCTCCTACCTCCAGAGCTGGCAGTGCAAGCAGCAGCACTTCAGCAGGGCACGGATCGTGGTGTAACAGCAGCAGTGCGCTCGATCCCCATCCAGTGCTTTATTTCAACTGTCTTTGCTGAATATATTGATGGGCGTTGTTTTGATATTTTAAGAATTTTTAAAGCCCACATGAGACAAAACCCTGGCTAAGCTGAAAGAAGCCAATTGTTTTTCCATAAACCTGGAAGAAATTACTATATTCTTTTTCAAGGTATTGGGAAATCTATGTTCATTGTCACTGGCTTTTTTCCAGTTCCATCTCGGAACTGAACGTGTAAGCCCCGACGTCCGAGCAGTGCCCTGCTGCTGTAACTCCAGCGAATGCAACTCCTATGTTGGAGATTTATCCCCATATAAATTCAAGCCTACAATCCTCCCTCTTTTCAGACAATATGGTGGAGTTCTGATATTGAATTATTTTAACATTAATTAACTGCCATGAATGCATAATACTTACTTGGTATATTTTTAAATATTTATCAAATCAGCTGCTTGTCTACTGAGCTATTTAAAAAATGCTACCAAGATGATAACTTCCAATTCTCCAAATTATTCCAGCACAACAGAGATGTCTTACTCAGCGGGCATACTCAAAATAGCCCTTGTGTTTACTCTTCTTGATAGACGTCTAAATATTAAAAGAGAAACTCTTTGAATTATGCTGAGGCAATATTGGAAGTTTCCCTCTGCTCTATTGCCTTGCCACAGAGTACCATTGCATCTCACATTTTCCGTCCAACCTCTAACCCCATTTCCCTGCTTTCTATATTACAACTTTGTTTTCTTTGCTCAGTTCACAGGTAAGGCTGCGAACACAAAATAGAATGACACAAGCCTTCTCTTATTAGTGTTATTCACACCCTGACCTGTGAAAGAACTGATGTTAAGCCTGCACATAATGGTGTGCTGCTTTGTTAATAATTCAGAAATGAGATGAAAAACAGTGGGAATTTTCTTGTGTTTTCTTTGGTCCAAAGAGAGTGAGACAAAATGTTCACTGAGATTATAGTAAAGCATGCTCTGAAACAGAAATCCCTGTAGTTTATAATGGAGGATGCAAGTGTGATCGTTTCTATTCTTTTTGCTTTTTAGCAGTTATGAATCTTTAGATGTTTGGGGGAAAAATACGAGGCCACAAACTTCCACAGGTAGGTAAGAGTGGGTAGCAGAGAAGATCAGTTACACAGAAAGCGAACTTTTTAGCACAATTCAGAAAAGAGTTAGAAAATTGAGGACCTCCAGCTTAAAGAGAAATGGGCTGCTAAGAGAAGGAACCACAGAAGAAAGGAAGAGAAAGCCAAGATCAGTGTGTACAGAAGATGTAGAGGAATAGATGGAACCGAATGTCAGACTAGCAATGAGAGGAATGAGCTGATGGCTGTGGAGGGATCTGGCCACCAACTCTCAGAACAAGCCCAGAGGAAGAGAAATGTAATCACCTATTTACAGACATCTACACTTTGTCTCCCATGACTCCCCATTCTGTTAAGAATTGGAAATATATATATTTATAGATTTTGCAGTCATTTAGTTTGAACTAAAAGGTATGTCAGCCAGCCACACAAACTTCTCTGAATTTCTTCTCTTTTGCAATACATGAGACATTAATTTGATTGATTTGCTTCAACACTTCTTTTGCCTCAAACTCATCCAGATGCAGGTAGGCATATAACCTCATAAACAGAGAGGGAGACAGGTATGGAAATGAGGTTTCATCACTGCCCCTTTTAAGAAGCCTCGATGTTGGACTCGAACACCTCATTCTGAAGTTAGTAAATTCAGATTAATTCCCCCCTCAAGAGTCAATGGGTATCATTCACATATCTTATCACCTAACCGGCATCTGTCTTCCAAATAGTGTTCTTTATGACCTTTTCATTTGAGAATTTACCCAGAAGAGGCTCTAGTGTCTACCTGCTCTTGATAGGCTCTACCAACACTACCTGCATGCTGTGCTGGCTGCAAGCTGCGACTGCTGGTATTTAATGTAGTAATAGGTTTCTCCTTTGTGAAGATAAACAAATGTCAATTCCACAGTATCCAGGGATGGAGTAGTAAAAGTCAGACTCAAGGGAAAATAACCAAAACAAACCCAGGGAAGAATTGTGTATTTTCAGAAATGTTCTCTTCCAGGATTCCTAATTTTTTTTTTTCACTTTAGTGGTTAATATTCTTGCTGATGAAAAAAAGAAAAAAGGAAGCTAAAAATGCAGATCTGTAATGAGCATAAATAAAAAACCCCACCAACAACAGAGAAAGCATTATTTAGAGATGAAACAAAATGAGACATTTCCAAGACCAATCCTTTCACTAACAAGAGGAGAAGAAAAAGGAAACTAATTCACTCTGCACAGTTTCTTTTACTTTGTCCTGGGGCATACGTTCCATCTCCCTTTGTCCCCCAAACACATTTCCACTGGCCCTCACAGTGCTGGCATTGACCTTCTGCAGCCAAAATAGCCTGGACAGAATGAACCAGAAAAAAGGAGCCAGCCAGACCAAGAGGCAACACAGCCATGGCCATGGACCTGGGGGAAAACTGCTATAATTAGCAAGGCTGGTACAGAAGTTGCAGAAAACCGTAGTTCTCCTGGACTTGTTGCCTTCCTCCCCCATCAGCTGTGAATTTAGCTTGCACAGAGCAGAGCCATCGCCTGCAGAGC